AAGATTTAGCTAAACAAGCTAGCTGTTTAGGGTAAAGCATTTTTGGGTCAACGTTATGATGTCAGCGTTTTTCCGCCTCCTCCCTTGCCGTTGGACAGCTCGATATTTTGTTGACGTCTTGGTCTGCAATGCAGTGGAAAGCTTTTAACCGCCCTGAAAAAGTCGCGCCGAGGCAAAGTCACCCTGCTCCTTTCTTTTTTTTCCGAGTCGTGCGCAGGAGACGTTAATCAGGCTTTATTGTTGACGTCATTGATATTTGCCTCTCCACTTAAATGTAATTAACCATCATCGTTGAGAAAAGATGGAAGCTGGAGGTTTTTCTCACTGCTGCACTGGTACCATGAACCCGCTCGGCGCTCCGAAGAGGAGGCTCATGAATAATTGTCACAAGATGAATCGGTCGAGTCTCACTCATTATGCATCAGATCACTTCCAGTCAGAGACGTTTGGCAAGACGAAGCGCAGTCGGCGGGGTCGCTGTCATCCGCCTCGGTTTGGCTCAATTCCGCATTGTCACCCTCCCCTAATTAACCCTCGCCAACGTGCCACTGACGGGCACGTCTGGTTGCGCCTCCGAGGGGCTGGCGGGCCCGTCCCGGGGTTGGAGAAGGATGGCGGAGGAAGGAGGGGGGAGGAGCTGTAAGGGGGTGAAAGCGGAACAGCGAAGTAGTCCTTTCTTCCTCTTGTTCCCATTCCATCCTCGGACTCCCGGTCGATCCACAGCTTGGAGCCATTCTCTGCCGTGATTGTTGCGTGACGGGACCAGGGCGGGGAGCACCGGTAGAGGTGAGTTAGTTGACAGGACAGGGTTGAAGCCAAACCCCTTGTTAAGAAATCTCAAGACAGCCCATAGATGCGCTTGAATGTGTTTGTGTCTGTTTTGCCCTTTTATCACTTTTGGAGCGAGCGGAGTCTGGCGCTGTCCTGCTTTGACAGCTGTTTCAAAAACAAAAAAAAAAAAGGCAGGAGAAGGAAGTGCGAAGTCCTTTTGCATCCTTTTGAGAAAGATGTGTTCGGCTTCTCCGAAGAGTAATTGCACAGGCTCAGCGGCATTAAATCGGATTACGGTGCGGGCAAATGAGGATGTGAGCTTTAGGTTTGGAATAAAGAGCGCTGTATATGCGTGTGTATGTTGTGTGCTCGTCCAGACTTGAGCCAGCAGTGGCTGTCATTCATGTCTCAGTATTTGAACCACACATCACCGCGTAAAATGTTTGCACGCTCAAAAATGGGAATTTATTCGTGAAACAAAAACAACAACAAAATCGGAGCGATAAGATTCAGTTTGAGCACATTTTGGCCTAACTAGATTAAAAGTGGTCGATCTGCTAATCCGGAGCCAGCCCACTGTCGCTGATTACCTCAACCGCTCTGCCAATTCACTCCCATTCATTCTCCTTTCAGTTTTTGTTTTTGTTTGTTTCTTCTCGCTGCTTTTCTCCACCTGCCAAATCGCACCCCAGCTCAAAGGGACTTGATCCCCGCCATGTCTGTTGTCAATGCCAACCCTTCTGGATGCTTTTGGGGAGCCTTGCTGTCCCATCGCCCTCTCTACAGCTTTTAAATGTGTTCTCGTGGTTGGATAGGACGGCCGAAAGTGTCAAATTCTTCCTAAATTGTTCCTTTTGCGCTTTCTTTTTTTTTTTTTAAGTGTAGTACACATTATACAGGTAATTGAATTCCACCTGGGAAAGCGGAAGGTTGCAACGGTGGAGTTTTACTCCTACAGGCAGCTGTCCACTTCGCTCACATCGAGCCCCAGAAAAAAAACCTAATCGTCCGCGTAATAACGTGCGATGCATTTCAATAATTGAAGCGAGCGTGTATGGATGGGCACGCGTGCGCTTGTATTCTTCCCTAAAATAAAGAAAGATTGGATTGAAACTCGATTTAACTTTTCTTACCACGTGTCACAAGAGAAAAATGCAGAATGCATCGGAACGAGAACATATAGTGTGTGAAGGTATCGGATAATATGACGCATATATGTCAAGATAAGTTTTATTTCAAAAGATACGCCAAGCCCCGAGGTCCAGTGGTGCTTTGAGACCAAAATACACAAATTACATAAAAATCAAATATTTTTGCCGCGTTTTTGGGGTGGGGGGGCTTAAGTCAATGGAGTTTGTGCTGCTCCTGGCCATACCGAGAGTCAGTCGAACCCCTCAGAGCCGCAGTTATAATAAGTCGTTCTTTGCTGAGGATAAATAATATACGCCTTTTGAGGGTTTTTTTTGTTTACATTTGTTGCGCCACCATTTGTGTTCAACGAGCCATTGCCCAAAGGGTTACAACACCGCAACACTGATGCTATTTGGTATCTCATCAATGGCATTTTGAGTTGAGTTCACTGCCCACCACATAGTGAGGTTTTATTTATTTTTACTTTTTAAAAATTTTTTGCATATCAAAGCAAAAATATATCTGCAAAAATCGAGTCACTCGCATCTCCAGGCGCCAATGTATTCGAAAACCCGCTGTGAACGATGCAATGCGCAGTGGAAATTTTGTATTTATTTGTTTTTACCATCAAGCGACCTCCAATTGACTTTAATCAAAAGTCTATCGCCAATTGTTTCCGCTCTTGTTGGTTGATTTACAGCGCATGGACTGCAATGTTGCACTCCTGCGGGATTTTCTGAAATGTGCCGAAAATTACTTTGGAGACTGGAAATCAAATCAAAATCATTTTGCCGATTACATTTTCGACTGCCCCTCGGTTCTTCCATGTTCCAAATAATGCGCACTGTGACGTAAGAAGTCATATTGGGTTCTCTCTTCCTTTTCACCTCGCTTTCCCTAATATTTATCGAGCGCCTCCTCAAGAAAAAAAAAAATCGAATTTATCTTCATGATCGGGTGTAATCACCGCTGTTGGCCTTTGTTTATGCTGTTAATAGCGTTTTGTTTTGTTTTTTTCCCCCTTCTTCCCGGGCAAGCTGCCTTCTTATAAGGGACCAAAGTCAGCGAGCTGAATATTGCATGAGATAACGTTTGCATGGCTGAGTGGTGTCACGGCGATGCATTCGCAGTGGGGTTGCGGGAGCGGCTTATACGTGTGCCGGGGTGGAAATCCAGACTTTGGAAATTGATTTGGCAAATGGACACTGGCAGATTTCATTAATTTGAATCTATGCTGACATTCTCCTATTTATTAAAGACTTCACCCTGGTGCGCACTGAATAGGGGAAAATTGCATTCATAAGGGCCTTGTTTTTCTTCGGATTAAAGTCATCGCATGAGGGGGGGGAAAAGAGTTTTCACGTGGATTTAACACACTCTCTTTGCACACCTGAAGCGAATATCCTCTGCAGCGTTTCCTCTGGATATTGCTCGCTCATAGTTAATTTAAGACGCAACGACAGAACCGCCGCCCGGCGCCGGCAAGGTTATCGAGTTCGCCCGTGCTGACGTGGCTTCCGAAAAAGCCAAGCGCCGCCATTCCGTCAGAGCCATCTAAGCTGATCCCGGGGAGTTGGACTATGAAATATTCAGCCCGGGTGGGCTCTCCAGAGGATGGCTGCCATTTATGCGTGTGGTCTTACTTGTTTTTTTGCCAGGCACAGAGCGGGGATGTTGTTTCCTCAGCGGTGTCGAGCTTGTCTATCGGTGTACAAAACGGGCTGCTCTGTCGCTCGCTCGCTATTTTGATTCGAGTCATTCCAATCGGGAAATTGGTCACAAAAGGGTGGAAATGAATTAAAAAGCTGTCGCAAAGGATTGAGAATATGTTCTTAACCCTTTCGTGCACGCTGTAACCTGATAACACGATAAACTGTCCACTGTGCCTGAAAGGGTTCATACAATCGTTTATATTATATTCCAAATGAAGACATACACGAATGTAATTTTTTTTTTTTTATCCCAATTGTTCTTCAGCCATGAAAAGATTTTTGATTTGGCATGCACGTCATCGATGCCGAAAAGAATTTTTCTATTCATTTTTAATCAGTCTGAAGGAAATGTAATTATTGAATCAGGATATAAAAATGGGCGATCCAAACATTATATTCACAGGAAAAAAAAATGGTGTGTTCAATTAGCTTCCATTTTATTTCATCAAGTGGTTTGAACAAAATGAAATCATCGGGATCCAGATCACTTTTTTTTTTTTCAAGTAGACGATTCAGATACTTAAATATTTTTTCACTTTTTTTCCACAGCATGAATCCACTTTAACCGCTAAACATAAGTGAGCTCCCACATTTCAGTTGCCGAGGACGTGGAGCGAAAACCTTGAAATTCGCCTTCGTGACCGCGAGGGCCATTCGCCGTCACGCTTGAGGTTCATCGAGCAACATTTACCCATGAAGTGCTTTTTAATCACATCGCCAATGGGAAAAAAAACTGTTTTTGGCTTTGTATGAGAGAGCGAGTCAAACTATTGTCATGCTTTCAGGGGGCAGTCAATTAGCCGCTCTGTTCCACTTAATCGAATGGCTTTTGTCTTTCCTTGAGGTACTTTTGTGCTTCGTACCCCATAGAAGGATGCCAAAAACGTGCTTGTCAAACCAAGTCACGTTTGGACCATTCCCGATGTCAAAATCGGGGCGGTCCATTTGGCCCCGCGTTCTGGCCTTTTGTGTCAATCACACATTGAAGTCTCCTCCCGGAGGAGGGCGAATCGGAGCGCACTTCAACGCAAAGGCGTCTTTCGAAATGAAGCGTCCTTCAATCTCACTGACGCCCCCCCCCCCCCAATTATTGGTTTTCATGTCGTTATGAGCTACGGTTCTACTTCCTGTCCTTTTCGAGTTATGTCACCAAATATGGTTGCTTACCCCGACAAAAGGGCGCCGTCATAGGCCGTTAGGAGTCAGAGACCAGTGGTATTGCTATGCAATAGATTTGCGGGCAGCTATTTCTTATTTTCAGGTTCTGCGCATCCTGTAAGTCATTAATGGCACATAATGGGAGTTGTCGGCTTATTTAACGGTCGGTAAATGTTCTCCATCTCACCCAACATGTTCCTCCTCCTCCTCCTCCTCCTTCCGCGGCAGCTGGGACGACAGCAGCTCGGTGAGCAGCGGCCTGAGCGACACCCTGGACAACATCAGCACCGACGATCTGAACACGCCCGCCTACTCGGCCGTCGGCTCGTCGCGCAAAAGCAAGGGCGCCCAGGTGAGGAGCCGACATTTGCACCGCGTGCTGCACACTGGCAGCACATTGTATTTATAATAACGACCGCCGCCGGATGACGCTAAATGTCAGCGTGGCGACAACATGACATGTTGTTATCTGCGTATTTATATCTGTGACCTATGCATCCAAATTTCTGCTTGTCAATCATCCACCCACATAAAAAAATAAAAAAAACGCTGACACAAACTCGCAAATACCAAAAAGGTGAGTGTGCAGTTGAGGGAATAAGATGCAGTCTTTGCTTTCTTATCCCTCATTGAAGGCCCTCCGTTGTTGCTAGGGAGACGGCACGGCCATCTGTCAAGGAAAAAGGCTCGCGCTGATCTCAGTTGTGTGTTTGCATGTGTAGGTGTGTTTGTTCACGAGCGTCCCGAAGGAGAAAGATGCGGTCAGTCCAAAGATAGCTCTGACTTCACACCTCGCTTCCTTCTTTGTTTGCTTTGCATTGCCGACCCGCACCGCCTTGCGTTTTCACTGCGGTGGATGAATAATTTAATCTCAGACTATGTTGCTTTTTACTCACTCCAAAAAAATAAATAAAGAACATTTCGGGGTTCCAGAGAGCCAGTAAGTCCAAGCATGCCGATCAGGAGGTGAGCAGCAGCTGGGTGGGAGCTGAGGACCTGAAGAAGGTGGACGAGGAACTCAACGCCAGCATGGACCCCGGCGCCAGCTCCTCCCGCTGGAAACCTTCCTCGTCATCCTCGTCGTCTTCCCAAACCCAGGGCCAGTACGACGACGCGGGTCAGAAGGTGACGACGTTGGCACAGATATCCCAGACCGGCTCACTGAGAAGGGGGATGACGGCCCAGGTTGGCATCACGCCCCCCAGGACGAAAAGTACTTCGGGGTCACACAAAACAGCAGGTAAATGTCCCATTTCACACGGTAAAATGCGGGCTATGATTTTTTTTTTTCAGTCTAGTTTTACCCGTTCGTCCACCCCGTAACCTGATAACAGAATAAGCCGTCCACTGTAGTGGCCGCTATCTCCGAAAGGGTTAATTTGGGAGTCAGTAAGCAGACTCGAACGACTGAAGTTTCTTCATCTTGAATTGGAGGCAAATGTACTCATTTGACATGAATTCGAGTTCAAGTAGGGTGTGTAGACTTTTCATATCTGTATTTATCTTTGCCCTGATGAGAGTTTTTTGCAAATTTTCTGTCTCGGCTACTCGCCACATTTGACAGTCCCAAAGTTGTTGGTTAAAAATCTGCTGAGGTGTTTTGGGGATTTGTGCTAAATACGCTTTATGCAAATCGGCAGGCAAGACCGATGATGCCAAGGCTTCGGAGAAAGGCAAGGTGCCCTCCAAGGGTTCTTCTGGCATCCAACGCTCCCCCTCTGATGCTGGTAAGAGCAGCGGAGATGAAGGCAAGAAACCCCCGTCTGGAATTGGACGCCCACCTACCACAGGTTCTTTTGGATTCAAGAAGATCCCTGGTCCTAGTGGGACCCTAATCACTTCCAGTGGCGCCACGCTTGCTAGTGGCTCAGCCACCCTGGGCAAAGCACCCAAATCATCAGCCGCCCTCGGTAAAGGCACAGGCATCGGTGGTGTCCGTAAGACCAGCCTGGATGGCTCCCAGCCTCAGGACGACGGCATCCTGCTCAGTTGCGGCGGCTCGAAAGTGTCCCTCCAGTACCGCTCTCTACCCAGACCTGCCAAATCATCCAGCGGGGTGACTTCCGGGCGCGGCGGACACCGTTCCAGTTCCAGCAGCATCGACTCCAACGTCAGCGGCAAGTCCGCCGGCGGAGCGGCGGCTAACCAGGCCGGAGCCAAGCGCAGGGATTCCGGGAAGATCGGCTCGGACCGTTCCAGTCCCGTCAACGTGAACCAGACGGACAAGGACAAAGTGACGGTGACGGAGCCGGATCCGGGATTGTCCACTTCTCCCAAGTCCAGCCCCACATCCACATCGACGGGCCAGACGGGCCTCAGGCAGCCGGGCTCCAAGTACCCTGACATTGCCTCCCCAACCTTCCGCAGGTCAGCCCCCCCTCAAAAACATCCTCGCCATTCTCATTCTGTCTTGATCCATGTTTCCACCAAGCGCTAAACTTGTCATTACGTGTCAGTATACATCTCAAGTCGACTTACATGTAGGCACGGGCTGATAAATGCTTTGATGGTTTTCGCTGAAAATTGTTTGCAGAAACAGACCTTTCACTGCACCGTTTTTAGGACGTCACTTTCCAGTCAATTGGTTGTTAATTTCCCCCACATCAAAGTGTCTGTAATACTGCCGCGTGCCTCGAGGAGTGATACACCGAACAATCTAATATCATTTGAGTCTGTCTGGTAAAGTAGGAGTAAAATCTTATTTGAGTTACTTCACAGGAGGATTTTACAGCCGCGCCGCCATCAAGGACCATTAAATAGACTTCGTCTTCACGTGCGATAAAATATATCCTGATGATGAACGAGCGGGCTTTCATTCAAGGCAGACGTATCCAGTGACGCTTCCTTGATCCAAGCAGACATCAGACAGGAGTTTCTCGTACTCGGCATGCATGCCCAAACGTGTCCGCCCCATCCGATCTGTCAAGCCGGCTTCTTTTTTTCATCTGCATGTCATTTTATAAGATGGTCCTCAAAGTAGCGTCGCCTGTTTCTTTGGTGCGATTGCTTTGGCACATGCCGCGTACCGTTTGAGCTTTTCTAAATGACTGCACCCACCTATCTACCCCCCCACCCCACCTCCAGATTGTTTGGCACCAAAGCCAGCAGCAAGGCCAGCTCACCGGGCACGCCCGACTCTGGCAAATGCCCCTCAATCCTGGGCAGCCCGCACGGTACTCTGGCGAGGCAGCCCAGTCTGGACTCGCCCTCCTCCGGCACAGGGAGTCTGGGCAGCGCCGGCGGCCTGAGCGGCGGCAGCAGCCCGTTGTACGGCAAAGGCCCGGACCTCCTGTGCAGCGACTCCCCGGCCTCCAGCCCGGCCTCTGGCCTCTCGTTGCCTTCCAACGCTCGGCCGTGGCCTGCCTGCGGCTCGTCCGCCGGCAGCAAGGACACGCTGAGCTGCCAAAGCATGAGCAGTCTGCACACGAGTTCCGAGTCCATTGATCTGCCTCTGGGCCACCACGGGCCCAAGGTTACGAGAACCGGCAGTGTCAAGTCCACCCTGTCCGAGGGGTAAGATTGGGCTGAATCATATGCATTTTTTTCACAACGATAAACAAAACCTAAGATACGTGCACATTCTTCTGGATAAATCCAAAACATCTCGGCATTGTTTTCACAATTTCAATCAAAGCAATGGCCGTCATTAAGGTGTGTGCATTATCGTTTAGGCTAGTACAGTGATTCCCAACCAGTGGCGAGAGATCATCAAGTGTGCCGCGGAAAAATATCCGCCTTCATTTAATTGGTCAAGAAAAAATATCTGTCTTTTCCAGCGATGTGACCGGCAGAACAATTTGATGTTTTTTTTCACTCAATGACAGAAGATCACCTTGTATGTCCAAATATGGTCAATTGCAGATTTTATTTATTTATTTCACAAATTCACACTCTTCGGTCCCCACATGGTCTGTTATCCATTTTTTGGGGTATTTTTGTCTTCTAATGGGAAATGTCTCAATCAAGGTTGGGAAACACTGCTCCTGTTGTACACTGTAGCTCAACAGTCAAACTCCGTGCTCACCTATAGTGCCTTTCGTATTATTTTTAATGCTTTTCTCATTGGGTAGTGGGCCAAGTGGCGTGCATAACGTGTTTTGTTTTTGGGTTTTTTTTTTCTCCATCTAACATACTCATCCTCTCTGTCTGAATAGCATGCCTCTTGACAGAAACACGCTTCCCAAAAAGCGACTGAGGTAGAGGAAGTTTGCAGCCAGATTTGTCTTGATTACCGCACGCAGCCGCATGGGATTACCGATACCGCCGTGTTTACGCATGGGACTGTTTTTTTTCTTTTTTTTTTGCAAAAGGGCACGCGCCGCACTTGCATTTCTAGACGCGTAATTCCTTTTATTCCGTTTTGTCTGCCATTCGCATGTTACTAGTTTCACTTCAAGATGCTGCGGGTTTGGGGAGTTGACAGTCACATGCAGGCTGCACGTCGTCTCTGTGTCTACATTTCACGACTGGTCATTTGGCCATTGGAGGGTGTGGGGGGTGGGGGGGGTTCATAGTCATGGTTAGAAAACAGCAGAACATTGTGAAAGTCACACATTTACGCACACGTACGTCGAGGTTACCAGAGTGACCCCGTGGATAGTTCAGTTCACAAGGTTCCATTTGGAGAGAGGGACATATGCGGCGTGTGCGGTATAGCGAGGTCGCATGTGACACGCGCGCTAATGAGGACTTTCGCAAGGAGATAATGCCACTGAAAAAAGTGTAAACTCAATTATCATCCCCCTGGGGGATTAAATCATGTCGATGCGTGATGAGGTGACCCTCTGCTGCTCGGGCCACTCGGAGCCAGGAAGAGAGGCACAGCGGTGTTGCTGGAAGTGGATGCTGATGCATGCGTGTTTATGCTTGCCTGTTTTTAGCCGCGAATGCTTTTGCACTCATCCCACCACTGACGTCACCCTTCCCTGCACTCAACCATCTCTTCAAAACTTGACAGTTGCCTAAACTAGTCCTGTCGTGGATTCCAGGTACCCGCCGTCGTCCAGGCAGACGTCTCACGAAGACGGCATGGAGTGGCTCCGGTCGCACTCAACGGGGGGGCTTCAGGACTCGGGTAGCCAGTCCCCGATGTCTCCACCTGGAGCGTCCTGTCCCACTACTGGAAAATACCATTTCTCCAACCTCTGTGAGTCGTGCTGATTGTGTTTGAGGCCTTACGGGGATAGCCTTAAACACACAACGTAGTAAACACACTGCATTAGTATTGTTGTGACCAACTTCAATTATTTTTTTTGACCAATGTGTGGAGTCATAGATAAAAACATCATATATTGGTCTTAAATTCTTTTCCACTGAAAAACAAAAATTGTTTCACGACTGTAAGTGACTCTGAGTGCAAGACGATTGGTCATATTTTTTTTTTTTCTGCCCAGAGTAAACAATGTATGCCTACGTGTGTTGCTGCACCGTTTTTTGTTGTTTGTTTTGTTTTTTGAAGCGTTACAACACCACCACATAGGTGTCGTTCGCCAGCCTGTCTATGGTATTTCCCATGATGCATTGAAACAGCAGATTCAGGGTGATATGAGAATGTCATAATTTTTTTTTTTTTTTTTCCCTTCCTCTCTCCCAGTGAGCCCGACTCACATCAGCCAGTGCAACCTGCCACCAGGCAGCAGCAGCATGAGCCGCTCCAACAGCATCCCCGCCCAGGACTCCTTCGACCTGTACGGCGAGGGGCACCCACTGGGCGGCAGCGCCACCTCCCTGGAGGACCGGCCTCGCGCCATCAGCCGCTCGGGCTCCTTCAGGGACAGCACCGATGAAGGTGGGTCCTCGGCGCACTCCTCCCGTTGACCCCGCCCATTGGAATGAATGGGAACGGTTCAGCAAAAGCCCATTTTTTTTTCTGTCCTTGCAGTCCACGGCTCTTCTTTGTCACTGGTGTCCAGCACGTCTTCGCTATACTCCGCAGTAAGTAACCCGAGTTCCTAAAGTCCCACCATCGCTATGGAAACAAGATTCTTTTGAAATGATTGTGCCGATTAGTTTGATAGGAATGTATTGATCACGCAAGAAGTGTTCTTCTTAGGTGGAAGCTCTTTGGTGTGTTGTTGGTTCCCCCCACTCAATTAAATGTGTAGACCCGATTTCCATCCCTTGAAAGTCCCCGTAAATTAAAATGTGAGCTTATTTCACGCCTAAAATGTTGATTGTTTGTGCTCCTTTTTATGAACAGACAGAGGAGAAGGCACATTCGGAGGTAAGAGAGTTTCGACGGCATGCATGCGCCGCTTCACATTCACTTGCGCAACTCAGAAGGTGCACTCATGTTGAGCAAATGGTGTTTTATTTTCTCTATTTTTGCATTGTTGTTTTTAGTCTGTCTCATAATCTTTCAGTAAAATGCATGTTTAAATGTCTTTTTGGTGGCTGACCTATTATTATTATTATTATTATTTTTAAATCTGCGTTCTATTGTCTCTTTGTCTTATTTTAATGTGTGTGTGTGTGTGTGTGTGTGTGTGTGTGTGTGTGTGTGTGTGTGTGTGTGTGGCAAAACAATAGATAGTTGGTTTACACATCGACAAGAAATCTGCTCATGCTAAAATTTTCCAAAACAAAATACTACCCACGTATCCCACAACGTGAATTTTAAGAAGTCGGGACTGTTGTCGGCGAGCCCTTCCCGACCATGCAGTGATGTCATTGCCGACGTTGGACCACCGCGATAGTTGAACTCGATGTAGCATCGCATTTTTAGTTTCGTTCTCCGCAAGTCGCCGTTTGGCACTGCTCTCCCTCTCGATCTCAAAATCGCACGCATCCTATTTGCGCTCCGTTGCTTTCATGAGCCTTCTGTCATTTTCCACATTTCTTGTCTGTCCTCTGATCTCTGTTGTATTGTTTATTTTTTTATTTTTTTTGCTTTCATAAACACTGGATCAAACAGTAATGGCAAATACAGCTAAGCCTTTTGTCAAACTAAATTTACTCTCTACTGTACTGTAGACGTGATGCAATTAAAACGAAAAATTCCATGCAGTGATTTGCACTGACCGTCATGAAGATGAAATAAATGAGCCATTTTTGCAAATACTATTTGACCCATTCTTAGGAGCGTTGATTGCTTGGCTAACTCCTAACCGTGACCGCCAAAGTACCATGACCTGTAATAACCTCTGTCTCATCCTGTGTTCTGGAGGCGTGCGACATAGTGTTAATTTTTTGACTTTTCTCTTTTCAATCAAGGGCCAAACAGTTCAAAATTCCACGGTAATTCCCCCACCCCCTACACTTTTTATGTTCAATTTTGTTGGTTGTTTTTTTTTCGCACACAGTGTCAGCATGTTGTCATTTTTTGCATTAACGCTATCAAAATGGACGCTGCAGGATATTTATCATTGAAGATGAATAATTCCTCTTTTTGTCCTGAAACCAGCAAATCAGGAAACTGCGTCGGGAGTTGGACGCGTCCCAAGAGAAGGTCGCGACCCTGACGTCCCAACTGGCTGCCAATGTGAGTTTGTTGACCTGCAAATCACGACCGGGATTTGCATGATAACGCGGCAAAGCTTTGCCTGCGCGACGCGAGCAAACAGAAATCTTTGGAGACATCCGACAAAGCCTTTTGAAAATTCCACAAATGCATCGAGCCTTTGTAAAAAAAAAAAAAAAAATTATTTATTTAAAAAAGAATTTGCGTGTTTGGTCTGGGTTGCCGCGTATTTATTTATTTTTTTCTTGTGTTTGGAGATGAGATGTTTTCCCTGGCGTATGCCGAGGATTTGTTTGGGGGGGGGGGG